TCTCTCTCTCTCTCTCTCTCTCTCTCTCTCTCCCCTCTCTCTCTCTCGGTAATTAGTGGTGTCCAATAAATAAATACAGCAAAGTAGTGTTCAAGCAAATAATGTCAAAAAAGGAACCGTTCAAAAGATTAATTACAGATACGACAATATTCTGTACAAATAAATTAAGGAGATTGTAGAAAATGAGCACCGGGCGTTCCAGTTCTGTCTAGAAGGGCAATATTGCCGCTCTAAATTGACTAAACAGACATTGCGTTAAGTAATGAGTTACAGCTGCGAAATCATCGTCCGTAAGTTGCAAATGAAATACGCAGAAGCCACAGCGCAAATTGCTATAATTGCGGAAAAGAGAAAAGAAATGCGAGGGGAGAAAATAACCTGACTAGAACGAGAATAGCGCGATTTACAGCTAACGATACTATTGTAGACTAGAAAGTGCAAAACCCATACACTCGACACCGCGCAAACGCGAAAATGCAATGTCGCTTATGCGTACGCGTGTCCCGAAACCGTGCGTCTCCCGGCAAGATCGTAGACTGAATCCGAGCAGTCGCGAGAAATCATATGGAAGATACGCGGCTCGCTCTTGCAATCTCTTTAAAAAAAAGATACTGGCATGTTACTTGGCTATGCTACATGTGTAGAATAATGCGCGCGTCGAGTCGCGACAAAATACACGTATAAATATCGTATTATGCTTGTATGATAGTCTCTCTCTCGAAGTAGTCGCCTGTTATAAGGCCCACTTACGAAATACGTTATGAAAAGAATCCTACGTCTCTCTTTTTTTTTACGAAGAAACCTTTCCAGCCTTTCCCTCCGAAAGTTCCAATTATCGAAAGTTTATACCGGAACGCTCGTACGAACGTTCCGATAATTCGTAACAATTCGTATCATTTCGCGTTAGGATCTTTCCAGCGTCCTTGGATCTTGTCGGAAAAACGAAGCAATTACGCGAGTGTTACTTCTTTAGTAACTTACGATAATTTACTCGTTTACGCGGAGAAATTATCTTAAGTTACTACAGAAGTAACGCTTGCGTAAAGATAGTAAATGTCGCGTTTGATGGAACGTGCTGAAAAATTTGGCACTGTTCTTAAGTACTGCAGCGATTGGTATCGAAATCATTGTCCTGAGAAGTCCTGTCTATCAATCACTTGGATATGAAATATTGTATCTGATCTTTTTCCGACAAAGATCCCGTCTTACAAATCTGAAGAGCGTTCTCTTAATATTACAATATAAGTTATACACTTAAATATTATAGACGATATATGCCCTCTACGTTTCTATCGAGTTTTTATGAAAATAAATTGGCAGGTAGCAGGCACCGTGTCTGTACCGTCATATATATCGTATATCGCGGTCACTTTGATCTCGATTGGTTGCTTCTTCATACTATTTTTATAACTGTTTCTATTGAGGAAATAACTATCTCAGAATTTAGGTCGACATCATTTTTGTAAGACGTTAAAGTGTCGATATAATTTTTGTCAGTTTAAGTTTCGATATAATTAGAATCAAGCCGAATAATTACTCTATTAATTAATATAGACTTACAGACTCTTTACGTTTAACCGTGATGATGAAATCTTAGTGTAAAATACACTTTTAATATTCTTATCTTCCAAATTCCAAAATTCATATTTCTTGTCTTCCAAAAGCATTGGAACCCGAGCAAACTTGATGCCGAGATCGAAGTAACGTCAATTTAAAGTACCTTTTTTTTTTAGTAAAGTATCTTTTTTAGACTACGACCAAACTGCTTGGTCGATAAAGTATCGAAGAGTGGTGTATTTTGTTTTTTCCCTCTCGAAACAAAAACATTACTTGTGCCGGATAAAGAAGACTATCGATCTACTTACGAAATTACGAATAAAAGAAGCGATAATCGCTTCTAACTTATAACTGATGAATATAAACGTCACAAGTAGGCCTACTCTGTAACTCTTAACGACAGTTTCGTTATCGTTATATTTGCGTTGCGCGGATAATATATTCGGTAAAAAAAGCTGCGTCGCGACAATGCAACGATAACGAATCTTCGTAAAGAGTTACAGAATAGGCCCACGTATCATCTTTAAATCCTCCTTTGTTAGACCTTACATTACCAAAATAGAAAATTCTCAAACTGAAAGAGATTCCCTTAGCACCTTTTCGTGAATCCTGTAACACTCGCAGGCTACCTATCACAGACCCACCGATCCTGAAAGAGCCCCGTTAGGCAGTTCATTGGTCGAATCTTAAAAAAATATTGCCATCGAGGGCACCATATTTATCCTTCCGTTCGCTCTTTCTTCTCTCTTCCTGAGGGACAATCGCAGACCCAGGCGCAGAGAATGATGTCGCAATACCAGCTAATTGGGAGGCTAATTCTGAGGCTCACATCGTATAGAAGGCAATGAATACTTCCCGAGAATTCGGAAAGTCAAACGCGCGGGATACGACTTATTGCAATTCTTAAACGAGTATTGCACATCAATTCTCGCTTTCGACCATTATCCTTTCTTTTTTTCTTTTTATCAAAATATCATATCATCGGTCTAGCCGACGATTGCCAAGTCGCGTGATTACAAGTGGCGATCATATAACTGGTTCATTCTGTAAGGTACATTCACAGACAACTAAACGTGATATGCGAGCGCCTTTCACTTTGATTGCGCTCTTTGATTTTACGTTAATTCGCGATAAACTCGCGGAGAAAACTAACAAGCATATAGAATAAGATAAAACTTCGTGTTTTGCAAGGGACACTATCACCTGAACTTTCGTTGATATTCCCGCTTGCAATTGTCGATGGAGAATGAAGGCTTTCTTACAAAAAAAAAAGATACCGATACTTAGCATAGATGTAAGCATAATACTTAGTCGACTACGTTTCAAGCTGCCTATCAATACTTAAAAATTATCTCCAAAAATTCTCCGCTGACCGCAAGCCTCCTCGCTCGCGCGATCGAACGAGGAAACTTGCGCGAGCGTAGGTCGAAAAAAGCGAACAACCTTAAAGCTACTATCGTGATGATTCGATTCTTGAAAGCTAAGTACTTTGCCCCCGGCGAGGACTAGCAGCAATTTCATATGCGACAAAAGATATGTTCTGATATTCCTTAAAGCGTCTAGATACGCGGTGATGGCGAACCATTCTTTAATCAGCATGCTCTTCGAAAGACACTTTAAAAAATTACAGAGTACTTCGATGACGGCTCTGTAGTGTACTGTTCATGTTGTATAAACATTTAGACATTTAGGGCAGTCTGATTCATAGTGCGATTTTATATTCAAGATCGTCTTCCGGTCTTAAGATTTCATTCAGCCAACAAAATGATCGTACAGTATCTCAAGATTATACTTAAAACAATCTTGAATATAACTTTAAATCCCGGCGGTTTCTCTTCTTAGAGAAGAAACTATCGAATATTAGCGCACATTTTTGTTTAAAGCGATTTGCTAAACATTATTCGGGAATCTTCGACATCGAAGTAGAATCCGACTCTTACGACACTTTCTTGAGCCCCAACAAACATAAGTGCAAATAGGATTCATAAAAATAATCGAACATATTGAACATTGAAAGTGTCGCGTGCATCGTTGTTCAAACGAGACGATGATTCTCAGAATTGGTACAGTTATCAAAAGCGAAATTGACGCAACGACGTTTGCAGCAGTCAAAAAGAAGACCAAAGGATACTCTGAGAATCGCCGTCTCGAAATGGTTCCTGGCACTCTTTTTCTTTCCCCGTTCTTAATTCATCGGTCCTTCATTTCTCGCACACTGGCGGCTTCCTGTTTTCAATGCGGTCTGACTAATCGGGAATCGGGAAGAGATAGAGCAAAACCAGGGCGGATAGGAATGTGGCGAAAAGCATCGCGGACAGAACGCGGTCTTGAATCGTACGGAGTGAATCTGCGGCCGGCTCTTCGGTGCCACTCTCCCCCTCATCGCGAACAAGGAGAAGAGCGGTGACGAGACGCGCCAGAGCCTCCAGCCCGTACGCGTCCATGTAACCCACGTCCATGATTGCGTCCGCGTCCAATAACACCTCCTGCAACACCAACAACGATACTACTCAGTCCCAGTTTCTACTTTAACGCACTGCGAAAACATTTCTCACGTGGCCTTAAAACGTATATCTTTGTCCTCTCCGAGGAAGGCCTTATTTTTTACCAATAAGTATCAATAAGAAAAGAAGCGTTCCTCGGGGGTAGCCGTTCTATTACACCCCAGCCTATCACCGTGTTGTACAAGGAAATTATTTGCTTCCGCGAAAGAACTTTTGATAGAGTTGATTTATTTCTCTGATTCTCTTTATTGAACTTTGCTTTGTAACAATGCTTGTTAAAGTCGATTGCGATCAATTTATTCGTTTATTCCTTAATGATCTGTATCATAATATGTATCAAAAGTCCCATCTAGAAAACAATCGAGGAATATCGAGAGGAATGGATAGGAAAAAACAACAATAACATAGTAATATTTTATGTGACGATTGATGAAGAATTATATATCGTTTGTAAAATTTAGGATAGTTAGTTCGTGTTAATCGATGAGATATTCGGATGATGGCAGGAAAGGTGAGAGCCCGAAGTATAGACTGTTCCCCGAAGAAGCAACACAAAAGCGAACTGGAATCTAAGGCACATGCAACTAAAGCTTCTTCGCTAATTCATTTTTTTCTCTCCTGATCTCTTGCATTTTTATAACTATATGCCCGTATGTCTCCTTAAAATCGGTTTGCAACTCGATCAAAAATCAGATGAAAATCGGGGACTGACTAGTAGTCGTTGAAAGTGTCATCGAGAAGTGACGGCTAGATTGCCGAAGCGTTAGTCACGATGTACACAGACGTTCGGTTACAAATAATGTGCGACAAATTTTTCCGTCCGACTGTTCACCAAGCAGGTTCGATAGATCTGATCTAAGAACGACGCTGGATGAAAGTATCGTCAATTTATAATCGTGCTTCATAAAGAGTAAGTTTTCGCACTAAGTATCCAGTTTTACACTCTACTCTTCTAATGAAGCACGCATGGTCGATCATATAGCATAATTACTATCATGATTCTCTCGCCATATCACCATTGTTAAAGAAAAAACAGAAACATTGGATTAATTCGATCGATATGGAAGTATCCACCGTATCAACATGTTCCATGATGTACATAAATGATGACAGCGTGTCTCATGCATGTGTAGTATACCCTAAGCGAAAGAGAAGCACAAACTTCTTCGAAACTAATTAATAAAAATAATGATGTTTCTTACCTCATCAACGCCGATCTTCCGACACGCCTCGAGGAAGTTGTCAACGTTACGCCTACATCGTGCCATTGTCAGCTTAGGCTACAAAAGAAATGTTGAGGTCAGTCTACTGGCACATGAAATGTGTCACAAAATGGCGAAAAAAGTACTCACTACAGCAGGAGAAGGAACGTGTATACTAGCAACTGATCGCGGTCTAACGTGGTTCGCTAGGTGACAGAGAACAACGCCGTCCGTTAACGCTGGCGCGAGGTCCTCCGGCAATGCCATCTTTAATCTCGTCTCTATGTGCTATTAAATAAATATATTCTTGATTATACTGCATATAGAGATAATTGCAATCACTTTTCGTTATAACGGTGCTTACATTTCGTAGTTGTTCGATGAGATCAGCCTCTTCTTTGGCACGTTCGAACTCTCTCCTCATAGTAAAGGAATACTTCTCAGGCACGTTACTATTCCACGTGACCGATCGCGGGGATTTCGGACTGCCGCCGTTTCTGCTTGGACTCTTGTTGCCTAATAAACACGCGCATACTATGAGCATATTGTGTAATCAAAGTTCTCTTTTGCGCTGCGTGAAATGTATAAGAGCAATTTTTTGTAAAATGTAAAATTGCTCTTATACATCAATTGCCAGTGCATTTATTTACAAGTAAATTTATAATCTCGATTTGGATTTTGTTTAGTTTAAATAATTACCTTCAACGTAACCAACCGCGGTTTTCACCAGCCTGGGCGCGTGTGCTGGACTTGTGTTCGTGGATAGGATACTACTCGAAGTTTTGATGGGCGAGCTAGGCTTTTTATAAGGTTGCTCGAGATATTTTCCGTTCTTATTGTTGTACTCGCCGTTGCTACCGTTGATGATCGGCGTGTTTTGATAATTTATTCGCGACGGGGTAACCTTCTGCACTGGCCTCTTTAATGCGTTGTCCTCATTGAAGATTTGCTTGCCAGTCAGAGCAATAGTTTCTTTATTATTGCCCATGTCGGTTTCGTTCTGCGTCTCGTTGCCTGGAGGCGTCACTTGCTCGCGAGGTCTGTACACGCTTAGACCTTCGTTAGCCCTCTGCTGCTTCAAAGCTTCTTTGTACTCCCTAAGAATAAAATAGCTTGTAATATCAAAGCGCACGCTGTCATAGCTGCGTAGAAACATGATATGATAACTTTCACGAATGTTATCTGATGATCCTTGCGAGTATGAATGATCAAAGCAAGACAACTATATAAAATATCGAAAGCGTTATTACAATCTCACGCATTAATCCTCTAACTCGCGAGACTTTAGAATGTAAATAAAAAATAATTTTTAATCATTTTTATTGAAAATCGCTAGATCTCGTTTCTAGTTTCTCAAAAAGACAATCAATCATATCTTAATTTATGTATCCATAAACAGTATGTATACATTATATATATAGTACATATATAGTTTAATTGCAATCGAATACTCAGTCATCTAGAGAGGATTAATACGGCAAAATCACACGTTGTTGCTCAAATCATATATAATATGTCACAGCATTACCAGGCGCGCCTACCAGATGTGGATGAGTAAATGAGTAATATAAACGTGATAACATGAGATAAACTCGGACGGACAGGGGCTTTTGTTGATATGGCCCAAAGCAAAGTTACCTGTATGTTTGTATGTGATTGAACGGCCTCTTATCGTCGCCGTTCACCATCATAGCGGGACCTGTTGCAGTTTGGAGCGGATGTACCGATTGCTGTACGGACGATATCTGCTGCGACTGACTCGTCAAATGTGTGGACTCCAGATGGCTGTAAAAAGGGATTGCCAGCCACGATAATGCACATGCACGCATGCAAATATACGTATGTATATATGTAAAACTACCGTGACAATTCGTATCACAATATCAAATGGCAAACATCGAGGGACGCGCTCGTTTGTTTCGAGGGAAAGCACGCGGATCGGGTAAATTAATCCACTGATCATCGTAGCGAGAGGCTTCACTCACCCCGGAGGCGTAATCGATGTGTGATGAAGGCCGGAGATCATCGGTCTTCTAATGTCTGCCCCATTTTCCGAGGTGCTCCTTTCTAATCTCCTCTTTTCCAGTTGATCGTGCAGTATCATCGCCTACAAGAGATTTCGCATGAGAGCGTGAATTTTAATTTTTAACATCTTCGTAAAAGACATCTTAACAATTAAACAGGGACAGTTTTTAAGCTTAGCGTTAAATTTAACTTCATCTTTTTGATCTTTTTAAATTTAGGATTAAAAATCTCCACCTCTGGATAAGACATAACGTTCTCAATTAGCTCTTAATTAGCATTCTGTTCTGTTCTAGAATTACATTTTCAATTATTTTTATTATAAATTTCGAAATAAATTCTTGTTAAAGGAAAATCAATCTTCGATACGTGAAAGAAATCACAAATATGAGAAAGCACATGATTTCGTCATGCATTAAATATACATAAATGTTCACTATTGATGCAGCATGTGCGTCCGTAATTTTGAAACATCGTTAACGTGACGTTTTATTGGGTCAAGGCTTTATAACGAGATTTGAGCGACAGCCAACGGCTCGTCGAGACAACTATCATTACACGTAGCTCGACTTGAGATCTATTCGACAGCTAAATATAGCGGCTATGTCATCCTTTAAATTCCGTAGTACAGTCTATTGCTTAAACACTTACTTCAAACAGAAATCTAAATAGTACGATAAACTTTTGATAACACAATAGCAGATATATCTTTTCCTAATCACTTATCAGTACCGTACTAACTATGCTCCTATCTCTTATAAAAACCTGACTTTTCTATCTTGGATAGTAGTCATGGCAAATCATTCGTATGAATAGAAGCGGCAAGTACGGCAATCGATATTTTTACTTGCTGAGTATAAGAACCAGAGAAGAGACTAAAATTATTCCTATACTCGAAAAAAAAGCAAATAATATTATTGATGAAATATAAAAATGTGTATTTCAGTATTCTTCATAACTTAAATATCTTTTCTCTTGAAATAATCAGAATCACTGGTTTTTGCGAAAGTGCTTGCATATTAGCCTACCTTGCCCAACTCATCCTCCAGGGATGTGTGCTCCCCGGGTGAAATCGTGCTGGGTGTCGACGTGCCGCTACAGGATCCATTCACGCCTACCTCGTGCGGTAGCGTTATCGAGAGCGGAGAGCATTCCTGCCGCCACAAGCCGCGAACTTCGCCGTCGTGTACCTGCACGGTGGCCAAAAGGAGGCATGTAAAATCGTGAGTTGTGTGCATTTTGCGCACTAGAATAGAATTTTATTCGTGCACTTTGTACAATGATTTTGATCAAAATGATCAAATGCGAAATCACTCGCCTCTCTCTTTTTTTGTACAATAAATTTATACACAAAGATTGTATAAAAATTTACAAAAAGATTATATTATCTAACAATTTTTCTAAAACAGTACTAAGAGGTCATATGAATAAAAAAACTAAAGACTTAAGAAAGAAGTCTAGGACAGCATTGGTTCTAAGGCAAAGATATGAAGTATGACCCACAGTGTGCTACTGTTACAAAATATTCTAATAGACACATCTACTAATGTCTACCTCTTTATTCACGCAAATAAGTATTTTAACTACGTTGTATAAACAAATGCTGTAATATCTTCATTTATCTCTTCCAACATTTTCTTCGTTAAAAAAACAGAGATATTTGCTTCACATTATATGAAGAAATATGTTTATTTATTATGTTTAATATCTTCCGAAGTTTCCTTCAAAGAAGCAAAAGTGAAAGCGTTTGTGCTTCGGTTTATTCATATGACCGATTATCCGCACTGGATCTTCGGATCAGAGATCCACGGGCAATTCGGCAGTGGACTCGCCGAATAGCTTCGCAAGGAGATAGCTGTAGAGTGTGTGCAGAAGGTGTAGCGATAGCGGAAAGGCCACGAGAGCGACGGCGAAACTAACCGCGCTGTGGATCTCCTGGGACCAACGTTTGTCGACGCCGTCGCTGGTGCTGTACCCGCTGTCGACGTTGTGCCGCCGGTGCGACCTCGTGTCCAACGTCGCGTGACCCCTCGCGTCCAGAGGTGCCCGCCGCGTTCGACCACCTCTGGCCCTCTCGTGTTTCGCTGCCTGCCTCTCCAAGTACTTGAAAATGTGCGTTCGCCCGCGAATGCATAGCTGAAACCGGCAGTAAGAGAACGATCACCTTAGCCATATGAAATATCGGTGTTCTCAGCGAAGGAAAGACGACCCATATTTCCTTCGTTTCGTTGCCTCCCAGCGATATAGGTATTGAGTGATATTGAACGTTCTCGAGTAGCGAGGTATTGATTCATAAAACTCAAATAAAGCCTCGAATAAAGTACAAAGCAAAAGGCACCGGTTTCGCAATCGATTCCGTAGGCAGACTGTGACCAAAGGAAAGTTCAATGGATGAAGTAATATCGCGTACGGTTTTATTAGAAAAAATCCGCTGAATAAGGAAGCGCGTAGGAGGACGTATCGCGGGAAGGAGATTTGAGCGCTTGAGCGAAAACGAACGAGTCATTAATGCTAATGCTCACCGAAGCAGGCGGCGAGGTCAATGGATTGTCGGACAGTCTGAAATCCACTAAGCTCTTCATCTTCCTCATCTCATTTGGAAGCACGGATATTCGATTGCCGCTAATATCCAGCTTCACGAGCCTCAGGTACGTCAGTTCTACATAAAAAAATGCGATTTAAGAACCTAATTTCTCATATTTGATTTGTCAATACTAATTGTAAGATACTTATCCCTCCGTCAAAATAATCGTATGATATTTTAATATTTCTTCTATAATCTCTTTTCAATTAAAATCAACTTGGCTTGACAAATAAGTTAGAAAATGATCTACTTAGAATTGATTTATAAAGACTGACTCTTTCTGTAGCGAATGCTAACTTTGTTAGAGCTAATTTATTGAGAGTTAGTTTTAAATTCCGAGCAGGTTTTTAACAAGACAAACCTTTTTTCCAAACAGATTGATACAATTATTTCTTAATCGCGATTAACGCGGCGAGTTTATCCAAGCGTGATAAGTACCTGTTGTATGTATCGCGAGCGAATTAAAAAGGTGGGCCTACCTATAGGCAGGTGCACCAGTAAGTTGCTCCTCAGATCTAGAGACCGGAGCCGCGCAAGGTCGCCCATTCGAGGTGGAAGACTCGTGATTTCGTTGCAACCTGCGTCCAGTTCTGCCAATGCTGTCATCCTGCCCAGCTCGTCCGGCAGAGATGCTAATCTGTTGTGCGCGACTAGCAAGGTCTGAAGGGGTAGCCTGCATATCTCTCGAGGTAGCGACGTCAATTGGTTTCGACTGCAGATCAGAGAGAGGATATTGTTTTCTTTAAATAAATTCACTGGAGACTTCTCGCTAAAGCTATATATTCACCGCCGTTTGAGACTTCTTTCAAACAAATAATCGATTACTACACAAACATTAATTACTAAATTTTAGTAAATTATCGTAATTATTAGAAACAATTTGTAGAATATTTCAGAATAGGAGATATCAACTTTTTTCTTTTTCATCAAAACTACTTTCTTTAAATTGAAGAGTTATTCAATAAATAATTTCATGAGTATACTAAATAATTAATTCAATTATTATAACTCCGAATAACTCTTAAAGTATACTTAAAAGTTTTAATTACACTGTGCTGCGTAGCGAGGGCTTAACGTTATCGGCGTTGTTACGCCATATCATACAGGATGCCTACGATACTGTATCGCGCGGTCCAATGTGTGTGTAATATGTATGTAGTATGTAGATATGTATATATACCAACCTAAGATCGAGGTAGTTCAGGGATTGGAGCATTACGACGGTTTCCGGGATTATTCTTATGGCATTATGATAAAGATGCAGCTTTTCGAGGAATGGAAATTCCGTGACTTCCTCCGGTAACTCACTGAAACGATTCTTCGAAAGGTCTGTAACAGAAAGCAGATACTCGTTCTTATAACGTGCCAGACGATAGACACGACCAGGTCGCCACACTTTTGCCGTTAAAAAGAAGCCGTAATTTCACGTCGCGTGATTTCAGCAGGAAATTGGAACGCGTTAGAAATACATAAACGAGAAAAAAATAAATAAATCTCGCGCTGAAACTGATTTGCAATTAAGAGCTGTCGAGCTCAGCATCAAAGTTCCGCATTCTCATTAAAGCGGTAGTTCGTCGCGTCGCAAAAGCATCGCGCAATAAAACGGCGTCTCTAAACGGCCGATGGGCCGATAAAACTCGTTAAGGAGCGGTGCTATCGAACTGTCTTAATAAGGCACCGATATCTCCCATGGCAACAGCTGTGTACATGGGTTGGGGAGTGATCTTAGGGTGTCGCTGGGGGGTTGTTATGAATGGGGCGGGCGACGGCCACGTGCGCGCACAGGCTCGAAACGCCAGGAAAAGGATAAGGGGTAGCTCAGCTGCTCCCGGCTTCGAACCTTCTTTCTGATCAATAACAGCCGTCCTCGAGTCCTGCGAATATACGTTTCGCGAAGAACCGTCGCCGATTCCATGTAGAATATGCTTCCGAAATAGCTATCGTTCTTTTAATGCGGACAGCATCAGGTATGAAAATGTCGCAAGCGCGTTTAAAATTAGGTACCTAATTACGTAAGATGTTGCAAAAAAGATATTTTACCTAGATTTCTTAGCAAATACGTAAACAACTGTCTCTCTTTCTATATTTATATTAAACTTTCGATCGTAAAGTATTAAATTTAATCTTTCCTTAGTTTTAAATATATTCTCTTAGGCATACATATTTTTAACATCAATGATGAAGCGAAGGGCGCGGTTACTACGACACTCCTGCATGAACTTGACATTTAAATCGCTCGGAGTGTTTATCATAATAGTCGAGACACTCAAGACCTTCTGATAGCTTTAAAATATAACAGCCTTGATCTTATTCAATACAAGATGTCAACAGAATAATTAAGACGACACAACAGACAATGTTTTCAACCGACATCTAGTAATATGTAATATGTAATTTTGTGCGTGTTCTACGTCTTTCTTCTTTTCTCTGTTAAGTATACCGGATAAATTAATTTACAAAAATTTTCCAAATATACCCGGGCCTGTAAGGAGAAAGTTAGATTCCGGCGAGTTCGTCGAACGATCAACGGAAATTGGCAATCGTTGCGTGCGAAGGATACGAGATTTCCTCTAACGGAATCGTAAGCAAAGTTTATTCGACGATTTTCGTCAATTCAATCGTCATTCTTTTTCAACGAAATAAATAAAGAGCATTGTCTTCACATAAATTTTGTTGCAATTCATGCATTACATTTACAAATATTAATACAAATAATAATTACTTCTGCATTTATATAAAATAAGATATTTAATAATTATAATCGGTTATAATTGTAACAATATGACGGTTGTATAAACTGATAATATTGTTAATTTATTTTCAAGTTCTCTCTCTTTTCTCTCTCGTTGGTTGTACATAATTACTGGAATCGCAGATTGCAATAACTCAATCTTGCGAATCGCGCTCATAATTCACCATATGGCATAAGATGTAATTCGTCTTCATTCGTCGAAAAATGTAGCAATTTACGCGGTTACGACCCGAGGGTGTGTCTTGACAAGCGTAACTTCGTTAATCGATCTCGATTCTTACATGCTGCGCGAACTAAACGTATTGAAACGGGAGCAATTCGAATAGGGAGAAATCTGAGGCGTGAATAGGGATGCCTACAACACTTTCATCGTAGCAAAGTATTTAGGTCTTTACTTTTAATGCTGCAAATCGATTTTTTAATCAAGTATCTGCACAATTGAAATGTTGGATAATATTTAAAAAATCTATATAATAGATAATTAATAAAACTAATACGTTATTTTTATTTACTTTTTTCGATAATTACATAATAATCACTGAAAAAATTTCGAGAAGCATCTTTAAAAAATTGTATCGAATCAAATATCGATGTAGTATCAACTATCAAATAACTTGTCGAAGCATCAATATCTTTTGTCTAACTTGAGTTTGGTAATTTCTAAGTCTGGTGGAGTACGGTCGATGTCCGCGGCGCAAGGGCGTCGGCCTGTCTGACGAAGACGGGGCTGGAACCCCCTTGCCAACCCCATGAGCGACTCCCACGCAATATTGGATTCTCTCTCAAGCACCGTCTCTTTGTAGAAAAGTGATAAAATTCTGTGGCGACCAGTCGCGTCGTCGACATGTATTGTGGCTCTCTGTTGTAGAATTCGTCCCAACAACGCACGGCGTGTCATCATATTTCGTAGATTTAGACGTGTACGTTGCTAGTGGAAGGCTTTTCCTCCGGTTCTCTCTTTCGCGAGACATAAAATTGTATCGGTGAAAGCATGGGAGGCAACATCAAGGAGCGACTCTCGTCTCTGAATATGTTCGTTAGTGCGCTAGAAGTCGGCGGAAAAATTCTTGTTTCTATTGTATTTCAAATAATAAGTTGAAGAGATTTACTTACATTTTATTCTTAAATATTGTTATATCAATTAATAATATATATTTTAATTATAAAATACCAAATACCATATCAATTTAATTATATCTACATTTAATTATACAAAACTGTGCGTTTTATGAGAAGAATGTAAAAACTTGTCTTCATTTCTTTAAGACCGAAGGATACATCTTCTTTATAATATTATTATTGTTCAAACTTATAGTTAAAGTCTCAAGAAATATCTATAAATTTTTTTAGAATTTTTGACAAAGTTTTAGATTGTTGTAATATGCGGACGCTATATAATGTCCCCATATACCGTGGGTGCCGAAAAAAAGTATACGATTGCAGTGTTAACATATATGATGGCGTTTAATAATAATGTAGAACTGAGATAAATATATAATACAATATATTAATTATAATTAAAATCTTCTAGATAAACTATAATTTGAAGCTGTTATAATTTTAAAAATCATTAATATAGTTTTTACATTACGCCAAACACAACACAACATACACACATTAAATTATTGAGTTAAATTATGATTTTTATTCTCGTGCGATTTGTGAAAACAAGATTTTATCTTTTTATGCCGCATTATCAGTCAGCATGACGGATGTTAGTCATATACTGATTTCAAATTTAGGAATGGCCGATAAAAATCAGCGGAACCGCGCGTGCGAAAGACTCTCTATAAATATATCTACACTTCCGTTCCTAACGGTCAGACGGACACGATAAGTATCGCGGCCGTGCCCTTCGCGATGATTGTACAGGACGTTTCAGAAAGGGTCGTTGCACCGGAATATTTCAAGGACCAAGGTCGAGGTCCTGCCGTCGAGGATCGATACGCAATTGCGTGACAGACGCGCACACAGTGACATTATTTGCTGATAAAGGGCGTGGCAGTTTTATAAGCCTATACACATCTTGCTATCCGAGATTTACCTTATCTAAGATAAAGGCAATAGCAAACGATCAATTAAGAAATATTCTTAAACTATTTGTCCTTCTTGCTAAATAAGAATGTTATTTTTATTATATTTGGGACATCAATCAAGATCTAATTTTTTACAAATACTGCTAGATTAACTATAAAATATAACTGTAAAAACTGCAAAACTGTACTCATTTCTATCGAAATGTCGATTTGCGAGAGTTGCAATGTATTGAATTATTAATCATTGATCTGCAGTATACATTGATTTTTTTAAATAATGTAATCCCAAATATTTGGCTGACAAAAATTTGTAGTAAGTATAATATTATATATTATATTCGAACATGAAGTCATTTGATTCATAAGAATCACAATGACTCGATAAGAATCGTGGATTAAGAAATAAAAAAGTTTTATTATGATAAGTATAAATCAGAGATATACGCGTCAAGTTGCAAAGTCGAGTAGAGGATTTGCTTATCTAGCGGACTCCGCGTGAAAAAAGACAAAACTACTTTGGTGGGAAACAAAGTTGTGGAAAACGTCTGCTCCGCAGTTTCCACATTAATTTCCACGTGCTGAAGAACACGAGGCCATCGGCCCGGATAAATGTCCGACTAGGCGAGACAGTCGCTCTTTGACGCTCTACGTCTGGCGGCGTCTCTGCCCACCGTTTCTTTCTCTTGGTCAGGTTTCCATCTAAGTGCGCGACCACGAGAGACGCGTGTTCTCGTAACAGGTAGCCTTGAAGGCCGAGCCCGGTCATTTCCTCGAACCTTAACTGGCCGGCTCCGTCGTGTCGCAGTGCAACAATAAATCGTCACTCGCGGAATGAGAAAAATCCGAAGGGGCCATGTGTCGAAATTAACAAGGGATAAAAGAGATAGATATGTGTTCATTTCGATGAAACTCGCAGAATAAAAATAAAAATGTTCTCTCTAAAAATTATGTTACAACAAATAAGAGAGAATAGATGGGAGAATAATATTATATTAACAGCATTAGATCTAATTGGAAATAATCTTGTTAATTCAAGAACGTATTAAAACAAATCAATAACAAATATTTTTTTTCTTGAAATAAGAACATGATATATTGAATTAACAATTAGATTATTTTATAGACTAATTACACTATTATAATTAGACTAATATATTTTCTTATTTTAATTAGATGTTAATTGAACTGATATATCTTTTTTCCCGTGTATGTAAAATGTAAATGTTTTATACCCCCCCACCTCACAGAGAACATTGCAATTATAAGATTTAATCGTTTTAATAATATAATTTTTTAATTAACGAACTTTATACAATTTAATTATAGTATAGGTACTGACAAAACCACTCAAGTTTATTCGTAGTGTACGAGATAGATGTGTGTATACAAAATGTAGAATTCAATTACAAATATGAATCCGGATAGCGATTAGGATGCACCGCATATAGACCACGTATATTTCCCTAGGGCGAGATAGACTGTTCAACGGCGTTACTGAATGGATAGAGGAGTTTGTTTAAGCTTAGAGAGCCGGTTTAGCG